GCCTCCATGGCCCGTAAGCAGCGACAGGCAGCCCGATGCAGGTCCCTCCGGCCCCCCCACTGGGGGAACCAGCTGTTCCAGGCTCTTCAAGTTGCCAGGCGCTGAAAACCTACAACCCTTATTCCCAGGCTCTGGGCTCCAGGGCCTTCATTTGCAAAACAAGTGTTGGCTTCGGGGCTATGTACTAATTTGCTAGCAAAGTTGTAGCCTTTTCTTTTTTTTTTTTTTTTTTTTTTTTTTTGCCAAGCCCTGATTACATCATTTCTCACCAAAATAAATCCACACCAAGGGCAAATAGTTGCAGTGGAGACTTTGGTCCCCAGGGAATCACAATTCCCTCGATTCCGGAGGTAGAAGACGGCCTGGCCTTTACAGCCCCCTCCCCAAAGGAAAAAGACGCTGAGAACGAACCAGGAGCAGGAGTGACAGGTTCAAAGGACTAAGTGATGCAATGGGTTCCAGAAAAACCAGGACCGGGAAGCCCACACCCCTCTCCCCTCAAGAGGGGCTGGGTGAGAGTGCCTGGGGGCTGGGCAGGGAGACAGAGGAGAAATCTGGTCCCAGGACCAACAACACCATCAAGGGGTACAGGAGGTGGTTAAAGCTTTCGGCATTCAATCTCACGCTCCTTCCTGGATCCCTTCTCAAAAAAGGATCTTTCAGAGCTGGGTAACAGTTTTCTCATACAAGGATGGCTAACAGATGCCCACCGGGACCTGCCTGGGAAGGCCAGTGAGCAACACCCTGGCCAGTGGGAATGGAGGTACCCGTCCCTTTTTAAGAAGGGGATGCAGGTGCACCTCCTCGGTTGGTACCGCGCCAGACCGGGATGCCCAATTGCCAGATGCGGTGGTTAGGAACTTATTACCTATTCTTCTGCATCGTGCTGAGTGGTGCTGGGGGCCGAGCTCCATGGTCAACCGCCTTCCTGTTAGATGCTGCCAGTAGGGGGCACCAGAGGGAGCCAGGGGGCAGGAGGTGGGCACCAGGCTCTCTCAGCCTCCTGCTGGCTCGTTGGAACACCTGCCTCACCCCAACAGTGGCCTTCACCCCAGCGGCAGCGGGTGTCAGAAGCCAGCTCTCCTTCCCACTACAGACCCAGCCTGGCTGCCCCTCCCCCCCCCACCCTGCCAGGTACCAACAGCTGCCAGACCTCCTACTTTGAACCCCTGGGTTTATACCCCCTCATTATGCCCCTCATTCCCCCAACTCCAGGAGCGGAGGCTCCTTCTTGCAGTCAATGCATATGGGTCATCTCAGGGTCCCCTTGTCCTCCCTTGATCGTCCTCCTATTAAATCGCTGTTGCAACACACAGTCTGGATTTTCTTTTCCTGACTGGATTCTGACTGGTCCACTCGTTATTCTCATTTTTTAAGAGAAGCCGAGGGTCTGGACTCCTCTGGGAAATTTACTTCTTCTCCCAAGTTTTTTGTGGGGGAAAAAAAACCAACACACATGTCAGAAGACCAGATTGAGCCTTATAGCAGGCAGGCACCAAGGTCACCGATGGCACCTGTGCCCCAGAAGCCCCGTCTCCAATGAAGGCAATTTCCTGGGGCACAAATAGTCCCCTTCCCAAGGCCTGGCTTCTGGCTCCCATGTAGGCACCTCCAGAGGCCTGTTCAGCTCCAGGGCTCCCTAGGAGCTTGGCTAAAGCCTCTGGGTTGCAGCCCTGCGTACACCCCCTCTCCACATCCTCCCTACCCTCCTGCTGTGGGTCAGCTTCTCCCCTGCCGAACGCTGCCTTCTGCGCTCCCTTCCGGGGTACTCTCCAGAAACCTGCTGCGTGCAGCTGTCTCAACGTCTGGCCCTGGGGACCCGGACCTAAGTAAGTCAAGGCTGCTTTAGTCTGACATATAGAGCACAGCACTCCTACAGGAAGCCTGCGGAAATAATGGAAACCATTCCTCTCGCCAAGAAATACACAACTGGAAGGCACGAGAGTCAGGGATCAAGGACAAAGACAGGGGCAGTAAGAGACCACGTGAAATATTAAGTGGAGGTCAATTACGTAGTCCCCTGAAACCAAATGGTCATTAAGAGTCAAAGGACCCCCCTGGAGTTTCGTCACGAACCGTAGGCAGGATCGCTCGCCAAAGCCAAAATGACGCAGCGGCCCCCTCACCCTTTTCTGTCTCCCCACAGCTGACACGGACGGAGCACGGAACACACTGCTAAGGCCTCGATTTGCAAACAACTTGAACTTCTCCGCCAGCCGAGACCTCCCCAGGGCCTCACGCGGGAATGAGGGCCGGTTCCACATCCCCCTCGGGCTGGCAGCACAGAATGGCAGCCAGATGGCCCCGTGCTCCCTCTTCTCGAGCACGACGGGGGCGTCCGGTGCTGGGGATGCTGCCGCGGTGGGGGGAGGGAGGGGATGCCAGACTTGACCCCTCCCTGACACCCTAACTCTGCACCTGCACGGGGCAGGGTCCCCACTTCCTCCGACTACTGCATTGGTTGCTGAGGACAAGATGGGCCCGTGGGAGCTTTGGCCTTTGTAGTTTCCGCAAGACGCGGTACGTGAACCTCCAGGGCCCGTCCCCAGTCTTCTGGGAACAGGACATTGCTTTTTTATTAAAGTGTAACAGGTCCCTTTTCCCCCCCACCAGCTCCTTCTTTAGCTCAACCATGTTTTTCTGGTCAGCAGGCCGGTCAGCACAAGTTGGAATCACGTCAAAGGGAGTTGTGGGGAGGCAGGGGTCAACCACACTGTAATATTTAACTATGTTACTTAAAAGCAACCGGAGAAAACGCGTTCTAAGTTTCAACTTCAAAGCGAGGCCAAGGGGATCACTGGAGTATCCCCTGGGGACATGCAGAGGCAGAATGTATTGAACGGTATGAAAAGTAGTTGAGGCTGATCAGAAGTCAGGGGCCTGACTTGTTGGTAGGCCTGGCATGGACAGGAGGGTGCAAGGGACAGAAAAATGACCCGTGGCAGTGTAGGCGAGAGAGAATCACACTCCTTTAGGTGTCACGAAGTCACATCTTTGCATGGGAGTTCTGATTAATACAGACGGGTCAACTTGGGAGCCAGCCATCATAGATATCGGGTCAACCAGGACCTTCCCGTCTGGCAAGCAGCAAAAATCACACTCGCAGTGACTGCATAGGCTTCTGTTACACACCTGACCTTCAGCTGGCGTTAATGGCCCTTATTTGGAATATTAAACAGAGGCGCCTGGGTGGCTCGGTCGGTTAAGTGTCCGACTCTTGATTTCGGCTCAGGTCACGATCTCATGGTTGGAGCCCTGCATTGGGCTATGTGCTGACAGTACGGAGCCTGCTTAGGATTTTCTCTCTCCCTGTCTCTCTGCCCTTCCCCTGCTCATGTTCTTGCTGTCTCTCAAGATAAACTAAAAACACAAAAAAAAAACCAAGCGTAAACCTCCCAGGATATTTCAACTGGCCACATACCACTTTCAGGCCATTGGCTGCTCTGTAAAAAGGATTCACAACTGGTCGTCATAATTAATCCAAGAAAGGTCTTAAACACTTTTATTTAAAAAGGAAAGAACCACTACCATGTATCAGCCCCTGGGCTTTGTGCTATGGTTCCAGGGCAGAGACAGAGCAGATGCAGTCCTTGCCTGGATCAAGTGTATATAGTCTTATAGGGAAAAAGACTTCACGATGAGTAAATAATTCTAATTATGCTGTGCTTTGTGCTGGAATGACCCAATCTTATTCAGGAGCCAAGGAAGGCTCTCCTGAAGAGTTTATAGCCATCTGAGATTTCGACAAGCAAGGAAGGTTTGATGCATTAAGAGATGATGGCAAGAGAGAGCTCCTGGGAGGAAGAGAACCTCCAGGGACCCAAACGTGAGGCAATACAGAACATTCGAAAGGCTGCAAGAGCCCCAGATGGCACGTGTGAGGACCAGACAGAGGAGATGGTGAGAAACCAGTTATGGACTTCCTTCCCAGCCAGTTTATTGATTGGTGGCTTCACCCTTCGATTTCATAGGGAGGTGCCACGGTTAGTTGGTCCCTCTGGCTGCAGCATGAGGACGGATTGCCAAGGGGTGAGAGAAGACGTGGAGAGGTTGAGTTAGGAAGCAAGAAGACAGTGCTTGGGATCAGAAGGGTGGCACTCATGGGGAGAGGCGAAAGGTATCTGAAAGAGACCTTGTTGAAAGAGGCACGGGAGTGAAATAAACCAAGTTCGTAAAGGGAGTATGTTGGGCGTGAAGGGCCAAGAAGGACTCCCAGGATTCAGTTGGACTAAGTGGGGGTGAAGGTAGTGCCCTTTCCTAACACACAAGCAGCGAGGAGGAGGGGTGGAGTGGGTGGTGAGGGAGCACAATGCAGGCCTGAAAGGGAGAATGCTGAGCTGAGCTCGCGATGTGGATTGCTGAGCTTTCCGACTGCACATGGTGAGCGGGTGGGTAAAGACAGAGGTTTGGAACCGAGAACACATGCAGGTAGAAACGGAAGTAGAGAGAGAGGTTTGAGAATCCTAGCAATGAACGAGAGTGCAAAAACCTGTAGTTCTCAACGTTCGAGGAGGCCCTAGAATAAGAAATACATTTTCTATCCCACATACGTCACCAACGAAAATGAACCTGACCAAGTCTTACCTCTACCACGGGGAACGTTCAGGGATACTCTGTTCTTTCTCCCGGTGCTGGGCACAACCTGCTGTGGTGATTTCATGACCTGCCGGTGAGTTGCTACCCACAGTTTGAAAACTCTAACGTGGAGAATGAGAGATGAAAAGAGGGTCCAAAACAGCTCCCCATGGGATTCTATTGTTGAAGACTCTACGAGGGTAGATGCGGACAAAGACAGGATCTAACACAGAGGTAGGGGGAAGGGGCCAAGGAGATCTCTCCTTAAACTTGTAGACTAAGCACAGAAGCTCCAAGAATCCCATCCTCACCGGGGAAGCTCCAAAACCAGGAAGTGGCAAACAGCCATCCTGGGAAACTTTATCAGAGCAAAAAGAAAAGAAAAGGAAAAAAAAAAAAAAAAAGGCCTTTCTAAACATGTCTTTCTCCCCACCCCCGACGGTTTTCCTTTTATCTCCTTGACCAAGATGGGTCACATGGCCCGTCCCGAGCCAATCACTGGCAAAGGGAGTAGAATTACCATGATGGGCTTGGGCTGATTAACATGCTCCGGTGGGACCGAGCAGGCGTTACTCTCCCTGAACCCCGTGCAGGTAAGCACCTGACCTTTAGGGCTCGACCAAGGAAGAGGATAGGTGAAGCAGTTACCCTGACCCCTTGCTCCTTAAAGTGTGGTTCAGGGGCCGGCAACATTGGCGTCACCTGGGAGCTTGTTAGAGATGAAGAATTGCAAGCCCCGCCCCAGACCTGCCTTATCAGAACCTGCACGTTCTGGAGAATTCAGGTGGCTTGCCCGGACCAGCAGTTTGGGAAGCGCTGAGACACCAGGAGACGCTCATAGTGTCTACCACCTTGCCTCCCGTGGCCTGGCTCTCTCTCCCTTCCTTCTCCCACTGGCTAGTTCTGTTGCAAATCCCAGACGGCCACGCGTGCTTTGCAAGGTTTTGCTTAAACGACTCAACAGAGCCTCTATCTTCCGCATAAGGAAGCAGAGCAGCGTTTTGGTAGAAACACAGCAAGCTTCCATCTGGGACCAACTCAAGCCATTAATATTATTCCCTCAGATCCCCGCACATCCCCGTTCTGTTCCTACGAGGTGTAAAATCCTAGCCCACCGCTGACAATGCCACTTGGCTGCTGGAAAGTTCTGTATTCTTTAAAAGCCCTAGGCAGGGTTGGAGGGGGTTGTTTGTTTTTTAAATTTGGTTTATTTCTTAGTAGAGCTCCTTTCGCCGAGTCTACAGGGGGCAGCGTCTCCTGTAGCAAGTTCCGTCCAGAGTCGGAGGCTCTGAGATTCTGAGACGCCCAGAGAGCCTAGAAAAATTTCGGAGAAAAGACAAATTTGGTTACAGAATTGGAGGATCGAACCTAAAAGGTAACGTTAAGAATTAACATAACCTGCGGCTGAAGAAAGGAAGACAGGGAACTCATTAAACATGCAGAATTGGAGGACATCTTACGGAGGCTTCACGCAAGCGGCTCTATTCGGGAATTTTTGTTCTTTCTTTTAAAAAAAAAACAAAATTAGGTGCGGACACTCAGAAGTTGACCAGCTCTCAAAGGATGCACGCAGAATGTCTTTCTCAGGTTTCTTCCTGCTCATTCATCCGTCCGGTTATTGGGCACCTGTTACGTACCAGGGGCTCTGCTCTGATGATCTTGTGATTTGACTCAAACGGGCACGAGAATGTACCCTTCTAAGAACGGTGACTGTGCCACTATAGTAATACATTTGAGACCACATGGATTCGTCCGAAACGTCCTTGACAGAGTTCTGATAAGATACAGCAGCTTCAAGGTAAAGGCACTCTTTCCTTATATGGCATGGACACTTCCGAGATCTGCCTCCACATGGCTTTTCCTTTCTTTGACTTCATCGCTTGTCTTACCCACCGGCCTCGCTTTCCTGCCGGTATACCCATCTTTGCTTGAACACGCCCACCCCTTTCCCGCGGTTCCCTTGGTGGCGGTAGTTTTCTCCCTAAAATCCTGCAATCCTTCAAACTATGAAACTCATCTGTATTCTTCTCTACAAAGGCTTCTGGGCTCTTGCCATTTAAAATTAACGGTGAAATTAAATCGATGAGAAATGAACTCTTGGGGCGCCTGGGTGGCGCAGTCGGTTAAGCGG